GTTTCTTTGTTCCCCACATTAAATCACAAGTCAATAAATAAGTGCAAGTAAATTGACAACAGCAGTTGCTGTGGCGTGAAATTAAGAACAAGGTTTCTACATAACAATGTATATTTTTCTCTTATCACGAGATAACTTAACATGAAACTTGTGGCCATCATGTAAACAGAAGCGTGATAATGAAACCATAATTTGAATTATCAACCAAAATGGTGTTTTGATAATTGATTAATGTTAACAAATTACAACAAGTTTGCTTTTAGAAAAATTAACACCTGAGAACCCACTTAATAATAAGTGTCTTAAGACCATTCCACTCAAACAATTATCAGCAAAACATCGGATCATTCCCAAAAGTGAAAAAAAAAAATACTCGCCCCCATCCATATTAACCCAAGGCAATAACTTTTTGCATGATTTTAGGCCGAATGGGAGACAAGGCCACAGTTTTTCAAAGCATCAACTTGGAGAGAAAATTCCAAGATTATGATGAATTCTAAAATCATTTTTCAAAAGGGTAGTTTGTGATGTGTGCTTCTAGCAAGAGGATGACTTCGTATTTTGCAAATGCGAGGTGTAATCCCCGATGCAACCAACTACAACCAAAATACTCAACCAGACAAGTAGTCAAGTAAATACAATGACAAAGAATATAAGCAATTTTAAAGCACAAAAATAGAGTAACAATAAAGTAAAAGAAATTCAAACCAATCAAATTCCCAAGCTTCTTCCAAACTTGGAGTTGAATCCACCAAATAGTTTCTTCAAGTGATGGTAGTGCTAACCAACTTGTACAAGTAAAGGCTCACTCCTTCCTCACCCCAAACATACTTTGGTTGAGCAAAGGAATTTTACTACTCTCCAAGTAAACCCTCAACTAGCTACAATTGAAGGCTTAACCATTCAATTAAGAACTACTTTATACAAGTGAGGCAACCTTTATCAAGGTTTTACCACTCCAAGTGATAGGTTCACCTTCACCAAGGTTTTACTCCTCCTAGAGAGTAACCTTCACTTGAGCAACCTCACAACCCAACTTTCCCAACCCCTTATACAACCAACAAAGAATATTTCTACTCAAAAATCTCACTTGTAAGCTTGTATATAGTGTTGGCCAAAAGTCCGTGTCTTCTTGTGCTTTGGGGTATTTATAGAAGGTGAGAAATGGCTCCAAAAGGCTCTCCAACGGTCAAATATTAAATGCTGTCGAAACTAGCCGTTGGCCTGTTGGACGTCCGAACCATTTGCTCTGCGTCCGAACCATGCGTCCGAACCACCTATCGGACGTCCGAACCATTTGTTCTGCGTCCGAACCCTGCGTCCGATAGAAATCAGAATGTTCAACGTTCATTCTTTTTGTGTCGGACGGGCCGAAGCAATGAATGAGTGTCCGATCCAAGCGTCCGAAGAGTATCGTCGTCAGTCGGACGACCGATCCTCTATCGAGCGTCCGATCCTCTGCGTCCGAACCTTCATATTTCTTAACTTCTCTTTGATTCAAATCTTTTCGATTCTCTTTTGGATCAATGACCTGTTCTAACAAATTTCTCACATAAAAACATTAATCTACATTTTGGTTTGTTAATCATCAAAACCAAGGACTGATCAACCAAGGTCAACACGAGGTATAGTTGAATTTACTGAATTCTCATTCATATTTCAACAAAAAGGACAACGTTTTCTCATTTGTGGTTGTTGACTTTTGTTACAGAAGATAACAAACATTTGTTAAAGAAAAACTTAAATTATTCAGTCAAATGTAATTGATAATTGTCAGAGAAAGGGGGAAGAAATGCATTTTTTTTGCTTGGAACAGAAGGTCTGTTATTCTCACATTTGAAGAATGCAAACTCTCCGCAAGTGTGAGGACCCGATTGGTGGAAGCTGTCACAACAAACAACCCTTTTATGAAACGATTTTTTAAATCCATCATAATATGGGGATTTGCTCTTAACTTGGAAACCCACTATGCAGCCCTTGTTCAAGGCTTTGAAGCAAGTCTAATTGGATCTTTGGTAATTGGTATGTAGCAAGAAATTTTTTTTTCCCTTCCAACTTACATTTAAATGACTCATTATCTGAAATTCTAAAATAGATGTAAAAAGGCCCACATCTTAAGCAACCTGCTTCAAGGTAATTTGATGGGAAAGACAAGAAAAAAATTTTGAGGGATAGCTGAAGAGCCTTTGGGCATCCATATAAGGTGAGAAGTATCGAACTAAAGATATCAAGAATCCTCATTGGAAATATACAAACTAAAATAATAATATTTTGAGTGTCATATGGTGTCACCAATTCCATAAGACGGGATGCAAGAGCTATAGCCACCGAATTACAGTGCAATAATTGAGGAAACAGAATTGGCTAGTATCGTTTATTGTTTTCTTCCTATAAATAGAAACATCTTAATTGCCCATGATTACGACTTTTAGGTTTAACAATTGTTTCCAAACTTCGAGTTGTGGAATTAAAACATTGGCCATGATTTCCATTTTTGTCATTCTGCTTTTCCTTTGTCGAATATATGCAATTAGATTTTCTTATTGATCCAGATATCACTAATGCAAATGTGCATAAAATATAACTAATTGGAGAATTTTTTTTTTTTAATTGAAACAATGACTTCTAAACAATAGCATGAGACGTTATGAAAGAATTTTTAGCACAGCACATATAAAATGCAAATAAAAAATCTTAAAAGAAGCAGACCTAAAAGTTAAGGCAAAAGCTAGGGTAAGGGGGTAATTGGATTTTATCAAAGATTTAGGGGAGGCGTGAAGAGTGCTATTTACAAAATTTTTTTTAAAAAAAATCATCGATCAAAATTGAATTGAAATTAGAACTAAGGAAAAATTTTAATGTTGGATTTTTTAAAAAAAAACCAATATCCCTCTAAATTTTGGGGGGTAAAAAGAATTTTTGTTTTTCCAATTAAGTGTCCTAATTCCAAACGCGCAGAGTTTTCCTGTGCAGGGCCGAAGACTCGTAACTCTGGTTCCTTCGCAAAGTCCACTACGCATTCTCTACCATTTTCATATGTTCCAATCCTTGAGCCAATTTATCTTGGACCTTTGGTAGGTAGTGAATAAATTGTTTGACCTTTTGCAGATTTCAATAAGTGAATGTTTATCAGAAATTTAACATACCTATGAAGAGGACCACAATAGAAGCAACTTGCCGGGTTCCAATTTGGAGAAAAAATGGTTTAAAAAAAAAGAAGAAAAATAACTGAAGCAAAAGGGAGAGCTCCATGTTTATAATTGGATAAGAGTGTGAGAAAAAGTGTACAAATTAAAATAGGGCAAATTACATTTTACCCTCCTGTGGTTTACCCTTTTTTTACATAACCCCCTTATGGTTTCAAAAGCTATACATAACCCCCTCATGGTTTGGATTAAAGTGTCAAAGTAACGGAAATAGTCACTCGTAACGGAACTTCTAAAAATGTCGAAATTACCCTTATAAATACATGACACATTAACCCCCCTATGATTTTTATATTTTACCATATAACCCCCTTATGGTTTAATACTTTACCATATAACCCCCTTATGATTTTCAAAATATACACATAACCCCCCTTGGTTAATACATAAATTTCAACCTTACATAAGGGTATTTTCGACATTTTAGGTGACACCGTTACGAGTGACTATTTCCATTACTTTGACACTTTAATCCAAACTATAAGGGGGTTATGTATAGCTTTTAAAACCATAGGGCGGTTATGTGAAAAAACGCTAAACCACAGGGGGGTAAAGTGGAATTTGCCCATTAAAATAAGAATATTTTGAGTATTATTTGGTGGCTGCAAAAGATTGGAGGCTTGAGTCATAGCAACTCTGCCAGCAGCCCAACTTGCCGGGTTATCAGTATGGCTTCTGTCTATATATAGCAATCCAACAATTAGATTGGCAATGCCACTTCCAAGTATAGCAATTGTTTCCGCTAATAGAACCAGAGCATTGGCATTGCCACTTTGAATAATAGTTTCCAATAGTAGAACTAGAACATCAGCAATGCTTTCCATTTTTGTCATTCTACTTCTCCTTCATCATATATATGCCATCGATCCATACCAAAAATTTACTCAAATCAACCTCCCTCCTGGAGGACCTATAGGTCCCGAATCAGTTGCTTTGGATCGATTCAACCAAGGACCCTATGTCGGTGTTAGTGATGGCAGAATTCTGAAATACGAAGGTCCAACTGCTGGTTTTGTCGATTTTGCTTTTGTTGCACCAAACAGGTACGAACATTTTCATTGTCCATGTTTGTGGTCATGCCTCCAAAACATTGCGAGTCTAAAGGCTGATGACAAAAAATGTCTCCATGAATGATTAATTCTTCTTCGGTAAAAAGCTAATTCGATGGTTCCTCTTAGCTCTGCATTTGATAATTTGTCATAATTCTCAATTTTGGTTGTTTGGGTAAATGTTTTCACAGCATCTGTCAAAAATGCTCCGTTGAACTTCTTGAACACCAACTCACAAAATTAATCAGGTTTATCAAATCAGACTTTGCACTTGGTTGATAAGCAAGGGGTGAAGAATGATACTCCATTTGCCCCTAAATTAGGAGGAACTTTGTCCCTAAAATTGATACTCCACTTGGACTGTCAAATTGGACAGGAAGCCAAAAAGGCTTTCGCTAAAGGGAATAACAGTACAAACTACACTCCGGTCGGTCATTGAAGTGCATACAACCTGATACGAACCCGCCTAGAAGGCTTGAACTCGTATCCCATTAGTCCCGGACCTAGACGATGAAATCAAGTTAAGGGCGGAATTCCTTAACTCCCTTAGACGAACGACTTGTGAACCTTGAATTTAATTTCAACCCACAAGAGTTTGAATAAGTGAACCAAAGAACAAGGTGGAAGACGCCACAATCAAGTGTGGTTCTTGATTGATAAGTCCAATGAACGCTCAAGTAATTTCTCAAGTATTCAAAGAAGAATCTCTTAGAAAGAGAGTTGTTATCACACAAGTGAAAACGAGAGTGTAAAATTCTAGTTGTCTATCTATCATAACAGGAAGAAGGGCTATTTATAGCCTTTACAAAAGGAGCCCTAAAGTTATTTGAAGACACTTCGGCCCACTTGAAGACTCAAGTTGCCGAATTGGTTTCCTTTATGTAAACCAACAATTAAACTACCAACTAAGCTTCTTCATTGTCGGCTTCAATCACTTGAACAAGTGTACAGAGTTTAAGATCATTAACTATGAGCCCCTGAGCTTCACTTGACCCTTCCGCTTGCACTTGCACTTGACGAATTAGGGCTTGCATAGCCTCTTGAAGCTTCTTAGCCCGACTCCTTGTAATTGGACCAAGGGGAACCACTATTTCCTTACTTGACATTGGTTGGTCCCAACGCGAGCTGCTATCAATCCCCTCCTCTTGAAGGCGATTTGTCCCCAAATCAAACTCATCTCCTGCAAGATAAGGTTGCAAGTCAGACACATTAAAAGTGGCATGTACCCCGTACTCACCTGGCAAGTCCAACTTGTACGCATTGTCATTAATGCGCTCCACAACTTGAAAAGGCCCATCGCCCCTAGCCATGAGCTTGTTGCGCCTCTGCATGGGAAATCTTTCCTTGCGCAAATGCAGCCATACCCAATCACCTGGTTCAAATACAACCTTTTGACGACCTTTGTTAGCTCCTTGAACATATTGTAGGGTCCTCTTTTCAATATTAGCCCTTACCTTTGCATGCAAATCTCGAACATACTCAGCCCGTTTCAAACCATCCATGTTAGTATGTTGAGAAGTAGACAATGGAGATAAATCTAGTGGTGTGAGTGGATTAAACCCATACACAACTTCAAAGGGTGAGTAGTGTGTAGCACTATGAACAGTGCGGTTGTATGCAAACTCTACATGTGGCAAACAATCTTCCCAAGTCTTTAAATTGTTCTTTATAAGTGAACGTAACAAAGTAGAGAGTGTCCTATTAACTACCTCAGTTTGCCCATCCATGGCTAGAAGTAGAAAACAAGAGTTTAGTTCCTAATCTTCCCCACAAAGGTTTCCAAAAGTAACTAAGGAACTTAACGTCTCTATTAGAAACAATTGTACGTGGCATACCATGCAAACGAACAATCTCTCTAAAGAACAAGTGAGAAACATGCCTAGCATCATCAGTTTTGTGACAAGGAATGAAGTGTGCCATTTTTGAAAAACGATCAACAACCACATAAATGGAGTCATGACCATACCTAGTCCTAGGCAAACCAAGTACAAAATCCATAGACAAATCAACCCAAGGAATGGTAGGAATAGGTAATGGTGTATAGAGCCCATACGGGTGTACCTTGGATTTGGCAAGATGACAAGTGACACACCTTTGGATAACACGCTCCACGTCTCGCCTCATCCTTGGCCAATAGAAGTGCTCTTGGAGTATAGAAAGTAACCCATTAATCCACCACCATATGCTTCCCTAACAAGTAATTCACGCAAAGAACAACTAGGAATACACAGTTTATCTTTAAAGTACAAAAAACACAGAGAATAACCCTCTCGGCTACACTTAGGAAAATTTGAATATTCCTTACCAAAATTAGGATCATTAGGGTATGCCTCTTTAATCAACTCAAAGCCAAGCAACTTTGCATCAAGAGTAGTGATTAGAGTATACCTTCTTGACAATGCATCAGCCACTACATTGCTCTTGCCGATTTTGTACCTGATCACAAATGAAAAAGTGTCAATGAAAGCAATCCAACGTGCATGTCGCTTACTCAGCTTGTTTTGAGACTTGAGATGTTTAAGCGACTCATGATCAGTGTGTAGGACAAACTCCTTAGGCCTCAGGTAGTGCTGCCAAGTTTGCAATGCTCGAACAAGTGCCAAAAGCTCCTTATCATATGTTGAGTAGTTCAACGAAGCACCATCGAGCTTTTCACTAAAGTAGGCTATTGGCTTCCCCTCTTGAAGTAACACGGCCCCAACACCTATACCAGAAGCATCACACCCAACTTCAAAAATTCTTTCAAAGTTAGGTAAACTAAGTATAGGTGCATGTGTGAGTTTGTGTTTAAGTAATTGAAAAGACTTAGCTTGTTCATCTCCCCAATGAAATGGTTGGTTTTTCTTCACCATGGATGTAAGAGGCGTGGCAATGGTTGAAAAGTCCTTGACAAAACGTCTATAGAAGCTTGCCAACCCGTGGAAGCTCCTTACCTCACTAACACTTGTAGGTGTCGGCCACTCCATGATGGCCTTCACTTTGCTTTGGTCAACATGTATACCCTGCGCACTTACAACATATCCTAGGAACACAACCTCATTAATGCAAAAGGTACACTTTAGAAGATTAGCATACAAGTGTTCCCTTCGAAGAACCTCTAAAACAGCTTTAACATGCTCAACATGCTCATATAAATTTTTACTATAAATGAGGATATCATCAAAGTAGACTACCACAAATTTGCCCAAGAAAGCACGTAAGACATGGTTCATCAAACGCATGAAAGTACTAGGGGCATTAGTCAGGCCAAATGGCATGACTAACCACTCATACAACCCATGTTTAGTCTTAAATGCAGTTTTCCATTCATCTCTTTCTTTCATCCTAATTTGATGATAACCACTTTTAAGGTCAATTTTAGTGAAAATAACGACACCATGAAGTTCATCAAGCATGTCATCTAAACGTGGTATAGGATGGCAATACTTTACCATGATGGCATTAATGGCACGACAATCGGTGCACATCCTCCACGTTCCATCCTTCTTGGGAACAAGTAGTACTGGTACCGCACATGGACTAAGTGACTCCTTCACCCAGCCTTTCTCTAACAAAGCAGCTACTTGTCTCTCCAATTCCTTAGTCTCCTCAGGGTTAGTCCTATATGGTGGTTTATTGGGCAAGGAAGCCCCGGGAATGAGATTATTTGATGCTCAATTCCCCTTACCGGTGGTAGACCACTAGGAATATTCTCAGGAAACACATCTCGATAGTCCTGCAAAAGTTCAGTGAAGACACTAAGCAAGGAAACATCGAGTTGGTTAGTAGAAGTAAGCACAACCTTACACATAAGAAGGAAAACTGGACGATTAGACAATAAGGCTTTGCGCACATGCTTAGCCTTAGCAAGTAATGCTCTGTTGTTCCCTTCCTTGACCGAATTACCTTCAGCCTGTTTCAGAGAGTTTGATTCGGTTTTACCCGTTCTTTTTACCTCTCGGGTGGTATCACTGCTCTTTTGTTCTTTCTTTTTTTCATTATCTAGTTCAAACTCCCTTTGAAGGCTAGCTTGATCCTCATGCACTTGTTGGGGTGTAAGAGGTACAAGTATCACCTTTTTGTTACAATGAGAGAAAGAATAACGATGGTAACATCATCCCAACTAACCGTCCTATCAAACTGCCAAGGACGCCCAAGGATAATATGTGCATCTTGCATAGGCACTACATCACATAAAACTTCATCTTCAAATCTACCAATGCGAAAAGGAACTAGTACTTGTTTAAGTACACGTACCTCTCCACTATTGTTGAGCCATTGAAGCTTGTATGGATGTGGATGGTTGGTAGTTGGCAAATTCAGCTTTGTCACCATAAGAGCACTCGCCACATTTGTACAACTTCCAGGGTCAATCACCAAACTATGAACCTTCTCTTGGATGTAACACCTAGTGTAAAAGATGCTTTCTCTTTGAAGTTCATCTACACTAGCTTGAGTAGACAATGGCCTTCGAGCAACTAGTGTATGACCTAGTCTATCAAGAGTTGGTTGTTCAATGATCTCCTCTTCATTCTCTTCTTCTTTCATAAGAGGTGGCATTCCCTCACAATCATCCTCTTCGTCATCGGTCACAACTTCTCCATTTCTTACAAGCATCACTCGTTGATTTGGACATTGTGATGCAATATGGCCGAATCCTTGACACTTGAAACACCTCACATCTCGGATCCTAGCTTTAGGAACATTCGGGTTAGGGTTTGGATTGCCTCTTGCATTTGGTCTTGAAGGGGCTCCATTCGACATTGAGCAGTTTGCACTGGGTTTGGAGAAACCAGGTGAAGTCACAGCTGGCTTGTTCCAATTGGAAGGTTCCGATCCTCTCTCCTCTTTCTTTGGAGGGTGATTTCGCCAATTTCCCCCTTGGAGGTTAGTGTTTGGTCGATTGTTACCCCTCCGCTTGAGCCTCCTTTCCACCTTGATTGCTTTTTCCAACAACTCATGCATTTCAAGGTAGTGTTGAAGCTCCACAATATCAGCAATTTCGGCCTTCAGCCCTCGCACGAATCGTGCCATAGTCGCCTCGGGGTCTTCACGTACATCAGCTTTGATCATGGCCATCTCCATCTCCTTGTAGTATTCTTCAACCGACATGCTGTCTTGAGTTAGAGTTTGCAGTTTGTGGTGGAAATCTCTATGGTAGTAGCTAGGTATGAACCTTTGCCGCATGACCCTTTTGAGCTCAACCCAAGTAGTGATCATGGGACCTTCATTCCTCCTTTGTCTCATGCGGAGTTGATCCCACCAAGTTGAGGCATAGTTGGTGAACTCTAGGACTGCTAGCTTCACCTTTTGGTTCTCCGTGTAGTGGTGGCAATCAAAAAGCTTCTCCATTCGACTCTCCCATTCTAGGTATGCGTCGGGGTCTGCCTTGCCTTGAAAAGAAGGAATGGTTAATTTAACTCCTTTAGGGATGTCATCCTCACGTACCAATTCAGTTTGGTTTCTCCTTGGAGGGTGTTCATAGCCTCGGCCGCCCCTTTCTTCCCCAAAATCAATCTCACCGTTAGAACGATTGGACTCAACCACTTGATGTCTTGCTCGAGTTGTATTGAATACACTCCTCGATCCCTCCATGTTATCTATGCGCTCATGTATTTCCTCAATGGTTTGGCGCAATTTCTGCTCTTGGTCTCCAAACATAGCCTTCATTTGAAAGGCTAATTGAGCAATGGTTAATTCCTCTTCCTGAGCCATAGTATTCCTGCAAAATGGTTAGGAGTAAACGAGTAAAGTACCTCACACCCTCCCTCACGTGTTTTCACTCACACTCATGTTTCACTCGAATGTTTTAAATCACTCTAATAATCTCGCCACGCAACTCTCTAAACCCTTGATTTCCTTCCTTGAAGAAATCAGAATTTTCTCAAGAAATTCAAGGACGTACCACCAATGATCTCACAAGAATGTGGTGTAGAGGAGTGGTTCACTTGCAGTTGAGAGATTTTTTTTTTTTTTTAAGAAAGGAATTAAGAAAGACTCGGACAGAATGTAATTTAAGCAATTGAAGGAAGACACGAACAGAAGGCAAAAGAAGAAATATGGGGTGATTGAGACACAAGGAACCGACAAGGACTAAGGCAAGTTTCCGAAGTTTGGGATCCTAGAAGGAACTCTACCCTCTTGCAAGGCTGATTTGTTCTTGGAGGAATTCTTACAAATTTCTTGGAGTTTGGAAGCAAGAATGGCGGCTGCAATAGTTTTTTTTGGAAAGGTTTGAGATTGGTAGTATTTAGTGGCGGTTGGAATTGGCTTACAAACCCGAACCAGCTAGGATTCCCAAGCCCAAGCAATTTCTTGATCCGAATCTGTCTTTCTTTTTTTTTTCCTCATTTTTTTTTTTTTTTGTAATTCGGATCAGACTCAAGTTGCAAGAATAGGTTGGTCTGCCGCTAATCAAGTTGCCAGAGACAAGAACTTGTTTCAAGGACCCTTGTTTGTTTTTTTTTTTTTTTTTCTTTTGTCAATGGTTTCAATGTCTCAAGCGGTGGTCAGCCTTGGGAGCAAGGTTTCAATGATTGGGCAAGACAACCGCAAGTTCCAAGGCTGCCTTGTGTCCAAGACAGCAAGTTTTCAAGGCAGCCGCACAACAAGAGCTTGGTTCAAGCGGTGGTCAGCCCTGGCTTCAAGGTTTCAAGAGCAAGAGTGGATTGATACTTGTGCCAATCGAGACTACCACCAAGATTCGGTGAACCCCCAGCAATTTATATAAAGACTTTCGAGACTTACCAAGAAATAGATCAAGAAATCAAGATTTTCCAGAACAAAGGTAAGCTTTCAAAGTTTCCAAGGAAGAAAATTGTAAGACAGATTCAGCCTTTTTTTTTTTTGTGCAAGATATCAAAATCCCAGCCCCTTTGTGACAAGAAGAAACCCATGGCTCCTTCAAGACCACAACCAGATTTCCGTTTTTGTTTTTGTTTTTTTTTTTTTGTGACTCTAGATGCTTTCCAGAAACAAGAGCAAGATGACACGGATACTCCACTTGGTCACGACACAATGCAACAAGAGAGTCTTGGGCACCAACTAAGGACAATATGAGACAAGACACAAGATTCAAGAAACGCTACAATAAGAACTCGGGCAGCCACAACACAAACGTAACAAGGCACGATTGAGGTTTTAACAAACACACATGACCAGATTTGAACACTTCCTAAGAGCAATATACGACAAGATTAGAGACTCAAATAACAAGACACGATTGAAACAAACAAGGAACGGACAGCAATACGGTTAAGACAAGAACGACCAGATTTGGGAAAAAACAAAAGAAAACTTACAAGACTCGACTAACTGGATATACTTGATTCGTCAACTAGCTCTGATACCAACTGATACGAACCCGCCTAGAAGGCTTGAACTCGTATCCCATTAGTCCCGGACCTAAACGATGAAATCAAGTTAAGGGCGGAATTCCTTAACTCCCCTAGACGAACGACTTGCGAACCTTGAATTTAATCTCAACCCACAAGAGTTTGAATAAGTGAACCAAAGAACAAGGTGGAAGACGCCACAATCAAATGTGGTTCTTGATTGATAAGTCCAATGAACGCTCAAGTAATTTCTCAAGTATTCAAAGAAGAATCTCTTAAAAAGAGAGTTGTTATCACACAAGTGAAAATGAGAGTGTAAAATTCTGGTTGTCTATCTATCATAAGAGGAAGAAGGGCTATTTATAGCCTTTACAAAAGGAGCCCTAAAGTTATTTGAAGACACTTCGGCCCACTTGAAGACTCAAGCTGCCGAATTGGTTTCCTTTATGTAAACCAACAATTAAACTACCAACTAAGCTTCTTCATTGTCGGCTTCAATCACTTGAACAAGTGTACAGAGTTTAAGATCATTAACTATGAGCCCCTGAGCTTCACTTGACCCTTCCGCTTGCACTTGCACTTGACGAATTAGGGCTTGCATAGCCTCTTGAAGCTTCTTAGCCCGACTCCTTGTAATTGGACCAATGGGAACCACTATTTCCTTACTTGACACTGGTTGGTCCCAACGCGAGCTGCTATCACAACCGGTTAATGCTGCCAATTATTGACAAGTTAATGTGCCAGAAAATAATCATTTTACATGCAATACTACAACACTTGGAGTCGATAACCTTATTAGTTAGTTGTAATCACTGATGCAGCTTAACCAAATGCTTTTCTATGAAAAAACAATAAAAACTAGAAATAAAGTGCTTAATTAAATCTCAATCTTCCTGCTCCGTCATTGGTGATATATAGAGTGAAAACTGTTTTTGTGCCTTTAATTATTCTTAGCCAACACATTTAGTTATCAATTAATTTGTTTACATTGATGACTGATGATGTCTTTGTAGTTCGAGGTTGCTGTGACGACACATATGTGGGATTCTAATTCTCCAGTTTTCTTTTCTTCAGGAACAAGCAGCTTTGTGATGGTGCAACGGACCCAGATTTGGGGCCAACTTGTGGTCGAATTCTTGGAGCTAGTTTCGATCCTTTTAGTGGGCAACTCTATATGGCGGATACATTCTTTGGTCTTGCTGTTGTTGGTCCAAATGGTGGGAAAGCTACAATAATTGCTAACAGTGCAAATGGTGTCAAATTCAATTTCCTCAATGGCTGTGATGTTAATCCAATTACAAGGGAGGTCATCTTTACGGATGGAAGTCAAACATTTGACATAAGGTATGTTTTTTAAACAATAAGGTAAATTACATATAACCCCCGTGATTTTATATTTTATCATATGACTCTTCTTACGTTTTAAAATATCTACTTCACTCTTCTATGATTTTATATAAAATGGAAACTTGATGCAAAATACCGTACGTAACGGTGTTAATTAAAATATCAATAGTATCCTTACTTAAATATTAAATGAATCGACGGTTTAACTATCTTGTATAAAAATGTATAAAGGGATTATATTGATAATGCAAAAATCACAAGGAAGTAAAATGGTTAGTTATACAAACTACAAGGGGGTTACATGGAGGTTAAGATTTTATCATATGTGCTTTAAGAGTGTGTTTGATATAAATGTTATAACCGATTGTGCATTCCGTTCATTTTTCACTTTATATAAAACCATAAGGTGGTTATGTGGTTATTTTGAAACCTTACAGGAGTCATCTAACATTATGTAAAATCACAAGAGATTATAAGTAATTTACCATGAACAATAATAGCAACTTGCAGTAGAAGTTCCTAAATTGCTGAGTACAACATTTTGGTCACAATTCTGGCTTTGTTTTCCCAAATTTTTAAGCATTCGGTTAATTTGAGTTTTGCTATATAGGAGTTGGACAAGGTTAAGTAGTCTTTGGTCAAAACAAAAGTTTTTTTTTTTTTTTTTTATGCATGGACTTGAATAACTCAGGGTTTCAACCACCACTTCTAAAAAATTAGGTTTTTCTTCCTTAGAATATTAACAGTTTTAATAATTGTCCTTTTAAAGTGTAAATGTGAAAAATTTTGCCCCTCAAAGGATATTTTCTGACTCTATCCATGTTGCTGGGGCATTTTTTTTTTATGCTTAAACTCAGAATTCGAAGAACATGAGCATCGGTCACTAATGTCGAGAAATTTAATCACAAATTAAATTTATTCAAGGCGAAGCACCAAGTATGTTATATGGGTTCTCTTGCTGTCTTCCCTCTTGTGGTTTTAATCAACTAGTTGACTCATGAGGTGGAAAAACTCTAAAATCTTTGGTAACATGAATTTTTAATGTGACATATATTCTTAAGAATATTGCAAATTTTTGTAGTCTTTTTTGCGATATTATGTCAAAAAGTAAAGCTTATTGTTCGGAATTTTTTCAACCTTTTTCATTATATTGGAAATTCCTTAATTACAACACAAAACTCGATTTGCTAATTCGACTTTCCACAGTCCTGATGCGTGGTTCGTTTTCCTTTTCTGTTTTTTACTTGTTTATCTTTTTTGATATAGAGTAACAGTTTGGCTAATACTTTCTATTATTTACATCTTTAGTTTGTTAATAGAGGATTCAAGTGTTAGCTTTTTTAAAAATAGTATAGTTAATTTAAGAAAGCGTATAAAAACAACGGGTGCAATAACTGTAATTATCTGCATTAATTAGTAAGTTAAGTGTAATTTAGATCTCTGTTATTGCAAATCGACCACTTATCTTTATTGGCCTTAAATTTACGATCATTAACTGAAGATATTTAAGCACCCAAATTTCTTTAAAATGTTTAAGCACTTCAAGAATTGTCCAATTATCCTTCCAGTTATTTTTGAATACCCTTGTGAACCATTTTGTGCAGAGATGTTATACGAGGAAACTTTACTCCTGATTCAAGTGGAAGATTGATCAAATACAATCCCAGGACAAATGAGGTGAAGGTGGTGTTGGACGGGCTTTCAGTACCAGCTGGACCTGCATTTAGCCATGATGGCTCATTTGTGCTGTTTTCAGAATTCTCCAACAAAAGAATCATCAAGTATCGGCTCATAGAAGATACAACTGAAGTTTTTCTGAACTTAACAGCAAATCCAATCAAAATCAAGAGGGCACCAACATATGGAGAATATTGGGTGGCTGCAAATAACATTATTGTTTCCCAGCCAGGCTCTGTTACGCCTTTTGGTTACAAATTTAATTTACTTAAACAAATTCTGATAACAAAGAATTTGCAAGCACAATATAACAACACTCAAGTCAATGTGCTACAAGAATATAATGTCAACGGAGGGACATTATACATCGGTTCACGGGTTGCACCATATGTTGGCGTGTTTAATAAATGGTAAGCTACTATCTGATGGGAAAAAAGTGTTATTGACAAATATGAAATCAAAGCAAATGTGTTTTGTGCTTAAATGTTGTTTTCATAATCTCGATTGGTTGCTCTGCAAGCAATGAGACAAAGAGACTACTCGAGACAAGCTTTCTAATGAATAAAATGTGATATTTTGTAGCATTATTTCGAGCTTAATATGTTGCTTTATATAGAAATATTGGATATGTTCATGTTGATTTTCACTTGATTTAGATTTCGGTTTTCCTTTTTTTCCTGATTTCCAGTTTGTTTCAACATCGATCTTGATTTAGTACTCTTCATAAATATTGGCTTTCATTGATTCCCATCAAACCTTAAACTTTCACTAGGCGAAAGTTTCCTTCCATACTTGTTCAAGCTGTAAATTAGCCAAGGGATTACTAAATTGACACCTGCACCTTTCTCGTCTTCCCTTGTCCCATGGGAGGTTTCAGTCTTGTAATTTTTTTTTCCTGTTTAATCAATGATAAACTTTTGTAGCTTTTGTGATTAACACCACGGTAAGTTTCTAATTAGCCTTTTGCAGAAAATGAGAAATACTAAAAGTACATAAAATGAGAAATACTACGTTTTGAAGAAAAGTGAGTGCACATTTACTTTAAGTGATAAGTCCCAAATAATACGCCTACTCTGACTTAGGGATTCAAAGTTGCCTTTATAGTAAATTTTAATTTATTAGTTTCCTACTTTATATATGTTTACATTGATTATTTATTACCATTACTAAAATGTAGATAAACTTTTAGTTTTTTCTATCATTCTATACTTCTTTATTTATATTAAACTTCAATCTATTAATTCCCTACCTTATATACATTTACACTAATTATGTCTTTATTGATTATTTAATCAATCAATGCACATTTTTCATTTTCTTTATTTTCTTCAATTACATTCGCTCTATCTCTATTATTTGACTTGATTATTTATTTCTAATTCTAAAGTCTTGACAATTTTTATTTTTCTAACGAATCTATGCTACACAATTTTAGCACATTACTCATCGAAGTCCATTTAAATTTTATAAATAATTATTCTTTCCTAAAATTTTCTATTAATGTTTATACTCCCTTCATTCAAATTCAATTTAAGCCAAAGCACTGTTCATATAAACAAGGTGTTGTAAAAGTTCCCCCAAATTAATTTTCTTTTGTTAGTTTTGGACAATGCAGCTGTAACGTGAGAAGCATTCAAAATCATCAGGTTGATCTAATCAAACTTTGCATTTGGTTAATTAACAAGCTATTGCGCATGAGGCATGAAGAGTGATAGTTACGCTTAAGAGGAACTTTTTCCCTAGCTTATTATTGACTTAGTAGTCACCATGGTGGTGGACTATCGAATTGCGCAAGAAGCTAAAAACTCCTGCTTTATTCAACCTAACAGATATCTAATGCAGGGTTATTCAAATTTCTTGAGGCTCTGTCTGTGGTTCGGAGGGCTTTAACTGCAATGACGGTCAGGTGGGCGTTCCCTCCGACGGGCTGCTTTAAGTTAAACAGTGATGGTTGTGCCACGGATCGTGGTAGCGGGGGTGATGGGGTGATTAGGGATTCGTGTGGAAGGTTTATTGTAGCTTTTGCGGATTCCTTTGGCTGTGTGGACTCTTTTCAGGCGGAGGCTCGCGCTCTCCTCTTGGGGCTTCAATTGGGGCGACAAGTAGGGGTCTCCCGTTTAATCGTTGAGTCTGACTGTTTGGTTTTGATTAATTGTTTAAGGAGGGAATGGGGAGTCCCTGCTGGGATTCAGCCTATTGTTCGTGCTATTCGGATGGGTGAGCCAAGTTCTCACCAGTTCTGTCATTGCTACCGGGAGGGGAATACAGTGGCGGATTCGCTAGCAGCATATGGGGCCATGTCAGGCACTCGAGTTATTTTCACTAAGGGCTCACAGTTGCCGACTCGTACTAGGGGGCTTTTGGCTTTGGATCTGCAGAACTTTTGTAACTTCCGTTTTTCTTTTAGGGGTTAAGGCTTTTGCTTTAACCTGGGCTATGTTTTCAGTCTTTGATTAATAAAATTTCCTTTTACCAAAAAAAAAAAAAGAGAGAATGACACCATAAACAACATTCGGGTCATTGAAGGGTACAACAACCACAAAATGTTGCCAATTATTGAGAAATTAGTGTTCATTATTATTGCATGTGCAGTTAATAACATCACTTGTTAGTCATAATGGTGTAGGTCAATCGAATTCTTTTCTACCAAAAAAAAAAAAGAATTAATAAAGTGCTTAATCAAATGTCTCAAAAAGTTTCAATCTTCATGTACTGCCAGTGATGATAGTTTCAACACCTTTTCTACAAGTATGGGTTCTTGACATCTTGTTCACTCAATCGGCTTGCAAGTACTTAGTTGTTTTATCAAGTTGGGAAACAATAAAATTCGTGTTACATGAAAGATTAAAAGTGAGGAAATATGTTCCCAAATATATCCACTACCCACTTAAAATATTGTCTTTGAATATCATCCTGAACAATTTTGTGCAAATAGAAGGAAAATTTACTACCCATTCAAGTGGAAGATTAATCAAATCTGTGATACCCTGTAGTTCGTCTCATTTCACGAATTTGAAATGCAAAGGTTTAATATGTGATATTAGGTCTATTGGGCTACTAATGTTATGGGTTATCAATTTTGAATCCATGAATCTCACTCAAAGATTACTGTGTCAGGCTGTTAGCCCTTAAATCGAGGTGTTAAAGTTGGTAGAAAAGCAAATTAGTCTCTACGTGGGTGAGCCTGAGTCGAGAGACGAAATTTGATACTACTATTAAACTAGTTTTGTACCCATTCGTTGAATGGGAATTGTCTAAAAATAATAAATTATTTAGTGTAGTTCATAAAAATATTTTCATAAAATACAAAACTTATTATATAATCTATTATAACCTTTCTTAAATACATTGTTATTAAAAAATAGTCTTATAATGTAAATTTAAACATCTAATTCAGTGATTAATAATTCGAAATGCAAAAAAAAAAAAAAAATCGACAATATGATGACATTCAAAAACTTGAAAATAAGGAAGATCAAATCTTGGCTGATCTTCTGTAAACAAAAGAATGGCCAACCCGTTACCAAAACATCAATTTTAGTACTTAATATAAATGGCTTAAAGGTTAATGTGAAAAGAAAAGAAGCCGAATGAAATATTAATAAAAGATAATAATTCAGAATCAATCAAGTCACAGGAACATAGCAACCTTCTAAATCTGTTCATGGCTAATAGAAACCAAAACGAAAATATAAGATGTATTTCGTTATTAAGTCAAAAACATAAAAAATCTAAATAGTCTGATGTATATTGCATGACGTGAACTGCTGTATGACAGTGAACTTGATGCTTTGCCATTTATATAATCAATGACACCTTCTTGTTCTTTAGAAACTTTCTATCAAAATCTAAAAAAATACATTGAAAACTGCACAAAAATTTTTTAACCCCAGAAACCCAGAAAATAAAAAAAATTAATACATTGTTGAAGACAATTAATAAATTGTCAAAGGCAATTAAAAAATCATGTGAAAACACATAGTTTAAAAGGCCACTTCTAAATCACTAACCAAAAAAGCAATATATGTTCTACTTAAATTGAAGAGTGAATCCATAAATTGAAATAACAAATTAATTACAAAAACCTTGCCAGAAATAAACACCAAACTGTAACTTTTGAAGAGTTAGAAAATTCAAATTCAATGATCTAGCTATGAAAAAAGTGTAGGAAATTACAGACCGTATACAGCGAGTATAAACAAAGTCCAAATGCCGTCATTGCATTGAAGGGAATAAAAACGAAGTTCCAAATCCGGTCCTTGTATTGAAAAAAAAAATTTTCCAAAAACATTGTGGAAAAGTGTAAACATCTGCACTGCATGATAAAGTGATAAGTAATAGATCGATGACCATATATATGAGTAAAAATGTAGAGTATCTTTGATAGCGATAATCTGATAAAGATAATCTAATATTTGTATTGATATTTCGAACTTTTGAGTTGAAGATGAGAGAGAGTTAAAAACATAATTCAAAATTATTTATGCTAATCCCCTGGAAATTTAGGCTTGACGATTAGGGTTAAGGGAAAAAAAGGTGAGAGAATGGAAGAGATAATTATGGATGGATTATCTAGAATTGTAAAGTCAAGAGAAAAAAGAGAGATAGAATAGCGTAGATTATTAGAGGGTTAACTCATAGAGCGCGTTGCACCTACTTGCTATGTCGATAAGCCACGTAGAAAAGAGATAAGCTAAAAGGATAAAGATGAGAATAAAACTTTATTATATATATATATATATGATTTATTAAAAATCCTATTAGGAAACTACTTGCCGTCTCGTTAAGCCACGTAGGAAAGAGAAAACATGAAGAGATAAGAATGGGAATACGACTTTATTATATATATATATGATGGACTAACCACACCAACCGGACCTACATTTAACCATGGTGGCTAGTTCATTAGTTCGTGTATCGAGTATCAACTCATACAAAATAGAACTTAAATTTTCTATAATTGAACAGCAAATGCACTCAAAATCATGAGCGCCCCAACTTAATTTATTTTGGTATAATAAACTCTGATTAATTTCTTACAATAATTTAATCTCAATGGATGGATGGATGGATTACATCGGTTCATGCGATGCATGGCATAATCGCTTGTTCAGTAAATGGTGTGCCACGATTTATTGACATTTGCAACTTGATGCAGCATACTGGAAATAGAATGTGTTATTGAAAGCTTCAAAATCAAACAAAATGTGTTATTGTGCTTGTGTATTTGTGTTGTACTCAAATTCTCAATTTGGTGCTTTGCAAGAATGAAAGTTGTTGTAGCTTGAGACTTGGAGACTGTTTGAGACAATCTTTCAAATGAACAGAACTAATGACTTGACTGTAATACTTCTTCAAATTACTAGTGCTTGACAATTGCTGGAATACCACCCAACAAATCCTAAACATCTTGATAGGAGAGCTGTGGACTTCTCAAAGGTCAGAACAACCCTTGCCCTGCCGTCAAATGACACAAGCTATAAACTTTTCGCCTAATTTTAGACAGGACAGTTTTTCAATGCATCATCTTGAAAGCCCACAACGCAGAGCCTTTCTTCAGTTTCAAGACAATTTCAGTTGGGCTTTTGGCTGCAGGCAGCAAGTAAACTGTTTGACCCTGGCCCAAATTATATTAACTGATTTGCCTATCCGAAATTTGACATATCTATAAGGAGGATCGCACTGAAAGCAACTTGCTTGCAGGCAATTTGATGAAAAGAAGGGAAAAAATGGGGAGGAGAAGAGCTACAAGCAAAAGAGAGAAACACGAGTCGAAGAGAAAAGGTGAGGGTAAATTCTCAAATTATTATGAAAAAAAAAGTATTTCTACAAGAGAGGTTATTTGTAGAGTCATTTTCGAAATTAGGTTATTCGCATTTGTTGAATGCGAACTAAGTAACTTTGCATTTGACGAATGCGAAATAGTATTTTTTAAAAAATTAAACTATACCTTGCATTTGAGAAATGCGAGGTCCTTGACCTATCAGTGAAAGGAACAGACAGAGCTCGTACTGGACATTCTAGCTTCTTTAATCTGGTCAAAACTTCAATTTGATCTACCAATATGTATGTTTGTTGTATGATCCCAACTGTTTAGGAAACCTAGGTGAGTTAAGACCTTTCATTACTTAAAAACAAGCTTCCGTCAGGAGACATACCTCAGTGCAAGGGAATTTAAAAATTTTCATCTTTGTCTAGAATAAGCTTAGTCTCTATAAGTTACAAGAGATTGACAGACATGCCAAACGCCTGCTTTTAAGTACTGTCAAAGTCCTTGTAATATACTCTGCTTACTTCATTTATCTGTAATTCGTTAGCTTTGCTCACCATCTAATAAAATCTTGCCTTCTGCGAGTTTCCTGTTCCCTGCCGTTCATGGAGTGCAAATATGTAACGGATTTCATGAGTAACAACACCGCATGCAAAAGCACCAGTTCCGTATTATTAGATTGACTAACTATATGATGACATTGCATATTGCATAGCATGATAAGATTCTGGATCTTGACATCCCTTGGCTTCAAAGTTCTGTGAGATGCTAAAAGCACCTGTATGCATCAGAATATGGCAAGCCAAACTAATACTCTTGAAATAGGCAGATTAGAGTGAAGGATCCTCAACACCAATGAGTCATTGTATTGTCCTTTATATATTCAGAACCACCAATCCAATTTCCTAGGAGCTCTAGAATAATTTTTTTTGTTTTTGTTTTTGAGCTCGCATTAAATGAGAGCTTCAATATAAAAAATATTTTTTAGTCAGGCGAGCTCGCATTTATCTCATTGTCTAAATGCGAACATTATTGGTCGGAATTCCACACCAAAATCACCTCTTTTGCAAAATTTTTTGAAATTCATCACAAACTTGAAAATTTCTCAAAAAGTGACAGCTAGGAAATGAGGCCTCACAAGTTTCATTTCACACAGGTTGGTGTAAATTAACAATTTACTCTCAACTTACACCAAATTGATCTCAACTTAAACTAAATGATAACAATTAACTTATATCAAACTGTACCAAATTTACACCAAATAATAGCAAATCAACATACACTAAACTACACATGATTTACATCAAATTGGATTTAGTTCATACCAAAATCCTATTGATTCACACCAGAGGCCAATTTATGCAAAATTGTGCGAAACACAAATTGTGAGACTCCGGATTCGCAAATAGCTGATAAGCCTTTGGGCATCCCTACAACCAAAAAAACAACCATAAAAATCCTATGAATAACAATTATGGAGCTAAAGGTAGCTAGAATCTATATTGGCAGGATACAAACTAAAATTATTTTGAGACTTGTAATATCACCAATTTCACAAGACGAGTGGCTAGAGCCATGGCCATCTCATCAAATATACCAAAGGTAGGTAAATCGAATTGGCGGAAGGATTGAATTCCCAAAAAT